TCGATAAAAATTGAGATTTGGTCAGAGATGTCAGGTTCCCATCATTGCTGAAATGCACCATGAACACGAGCCATGAACACTGGAGGATTATCCGAAAATCACTGGCACACCTTCCAGAAACACGTTTTGTTCAGAACCGGAGCGACGCGGCCGACAGCCCCGGCTGACTCACTCGGCACCGTGTCACTCGCTAAGAGGTTCATAGGTCACCTTCAGATAATGGTGGTGGAGATCCAGAAGTGTCTGGGAAAGAAAGGGGAGAGGAGCAACAAAAAGGTGTTCAAAAGGGACTATAAAAGGCATGAAAGAGAACAGGCAGCTACATTGGCAGCTCTATGCAGGGCAGACTGGGCTGAAATAGGTAGGATCCTCAGGAACAATATCATGGAGACACTAAAGAAGCACTGAAAAACTGAAGAACTGCTCTATAATTTCTAGAATTTCTATATTTCTGCTTCCATAATTTAGGTGCTCTAGAACTGAAACCCGGTTGTTTTGTTTTTGTTTTTGATTTTAAGAAATACAAGCTATTGTCTATCCCCCGACTAGAAGGTGTTTTCTTATCTGTTATCCTGTGTTTGGATGTATGAACTATATGTTGTATATATGATTGTATAGTTTCGATAATATACCACTGCATTTTTTGACTTGACCACCAGCACACTTCTGACTAATCAATATCTCATTAACTTTTCAAAACCAAATAAGTTCATTAATTAAGTGAGCTGGTGATGAAATTTAACATGGAAACCAACACATGGAATGGCTGAGGTGTCCCGGAGGAGAGGTTTGGGAACCAAAGCGGTGTTCATCTAGCCGTCCAGCAAGATATCCGTGACTTTTTAGGGAACTGAAGAAATCACTTTTAGCTTTCATTGTGCTGCTCTTAATTTGCATATGTTCTGAGGCTAAATTATATTTTTCTTCTAACCAATATCCTTACTACCCAGATAAATAGCTTTAAACATTTTCTGTAACTGCTTAAGACTTTTGCACAGTACTATTATATATATAGTTTATTAAGCAGTTATACTGTAAACGAAGCATTTCTGAGCTGCAGGAAACCCAACAGAATTCCAAGCTGCCTCATCAAAGCTGTCATTTCATCCCTCTGAACTGAGCTGTTAATAATATTTCACTCTTTCATATTTCTCTCCCTTAATAGGTGTGAACCTGGAGACGTCCATCTCCCATCCTTTTTTACTTCATTAAAACAGCAAACTAGATGTCTTCAGCATGTTGTTAATTAGTACATATTTCATGTGTCTGGATTTTTCATGAAAATTTATGTTTTATTTCTCTGTGATCTGTCCTAGTGACAGCATGTATGCACTGTTATACTGCATATATTTTGACAAGTGAATGTTTCTGATTAACCTTAAGTCACATACAGATATAGTTTATGGGCCAATGTGGTTCTAAGACCTATGCAGAAAGGCAGGTTCTAGAGCAGTGGTTCTCGACTGTAGCGTCAGAACCCCCATTTATCCTTGGTCATTGGGTCATGGCAATGGTGAAAACAGTGGCAAAAGTTGTCCACCTTTAGGGGATGACTTTTGGATCATGACCCACCGATTAAGAGATGTTGTTCTAGACCCATATCTACTGCCAGAGTATTAAAACCTGATGTGGATGTCTGTCAGGTACAAACTAATATGATGCTGCATGTGTCTTTGCACAGAGGGTAACATGGGAGAACCTTATCATCCTTGCGCTCCACTGATGGTTCCCAGCTGTGGTTCCCCTCTACTTGCTCTCCGCTGAAGATCTAGGACCATCTGCAGCTTGTGCCTCGCGATTGTGAAAATGCTCTCTCCTTTCAGTTGGAACTTGGCATGTCTGCCTTGTGTGTCCTGGACAGTTTTTCTTCAGCGCTGAATAGTTTCCAGTTTGCACTTCAGCACTACCAACTATTGGTTTGTAAGGAATTACGAAATCTCTCAACGCTCAATTGAATTGAAAACATTGTGTTCATATCTTGGGCTCCAGGCGGCTTAGAGATAGCAGTAAAATACTGCAGCTAGGTCTGTGTTCATAAATCAGGCGCTTTCTGTTCCTGTGTTCCCTTAAAAGCGTCGTTGAGGATACTATTATCACATAGGGATAAAAAACATATCACATCAAGATAAAACAAATATTTGTATTCCCGGTTAAACATTTCAGCTGCGGTTTAAAGCAATACTTTGTAAGTGTTCCCACCAAGCGCTGGCTGTGAGATATAATTAACGGCTTTGGCAGTCTTAAGCATTGCAGGCAGAGTAAATTAATTCAGCCGGATCTGCGAGTGTCTGTGGGCTCGGGGAATGCATTTTGAGGTGATTCCCTGTGGAGCTGTGACAGGCAGCGTCGATCTGCTGCTAATAGTCTTTCTTAGACAGACTCTGCAGCAAGAGGGCACAGGCCTGTATATAATGTGGATTACTGCTGACTGGCACAGCGTATTCAGTGAAACATCTCAGAACTCTGCTCTAGATGCACTTAAACGGCATGAGATTCTTCCACGTTTATCAAATTGGCTCATTTAGCAGGTTAATCAGGTGATATTTCAGGTGCTGCAGAAGAGTCACAAAAAGTCATTTCAGATTGTAGAGTAACAAAAGTAACAGAAACAATATATTATGCAATGTACTGCCTACACTTGTGGCTGGCATTCACTGCAAGCTCAGCTTTGCTGTACTTTCATCTACTCAACTCCTTGACATCACGCATGCTTGTGATGTGTTATTGGCCTAACTTGCATGTTGTTTTGGACAAAAGCATCTGTAAAACAAAGTAAATATAAATATAATACCTATATGGAGTGGGGCCAGCCTTGAGAAGAGCTTAAATCCTTGGAATGCTCTCATAAAAGTCCCAAGCTGTGTGCCTTGGGATATTGGACAATTCTTCAAGAAGAAAAGTCTGCAGTTCTTTCAGGGATGAAGGAGGTAGAAATCTACTGTACACTCTGTACTCCAGAAGGTCCCATAAAGGATTAATGATGTTTAGATCTGGTGATTGGGGAGGGCCATGGAAGGCATTTGACCTCATCCTGAAACCACGTGAATGTGTCGAGCAGTGTGCATAGGGGAATTGTCATCCTGGAACATAGGAACATTGCGAGGGGACGGTGTCCGCACCATAGGGAATACCTCGTCTTGTGAAATGACCTCATATTCTTTGACCGTTAAACGACCATGGTGAAGAAGCATCAGACCTAATGATTCCCATAAGATAGCTGCCCACACCAACAGATATTGCAGACCGAAGGCACCCTTTGTCTTTCTCCAAACGTGAACCTGTCCAGAAAGATGGCCCATCAGACAATGTTATTTCTTATTTTTCTGCTCTTGCTCAAGGTTCACATCACATGCTCTGCACATCCGGCATGGCTGCCTGTGCATTGGCCGTGGATACATGGAGCTTCTGAGCAAATCCCTTGGCATAAATCCCAACTTATCCACACAAATCACAAGTTCATGATGCACTGCGTTTATCCACAGGGGTCTCAGAGGGGCTGATTCTGTCCTGCAGTCATTTTTGAGGCTGTATCCTCATAGTGTCTATAGAATAGATTTTAACTATCCTAACAAGTTTCTATCGACCCCTGTCAGTGAGCTTCGCCTTGTGATCACAGTCCCTTTTAGCCAGTGCTGTTCATCCATGTTTGGCGTAATTCTGTCATGGTCTTTTTCCTACTGCACCACTTGAGACATTAATTAATGATTTGGCTTTTGAGACGGATGCACCTGCAATTCAGCCACTGTCTCTCTGGCCTCGTACTGTTAGCTATCTCATGTTGCTTTGAAAACACGTATCAGATGTGCTTAATGTCAGGCCTCATTCATACTTGACACGCGCCGCTAATTTGCATACAGATTAATATGACTCACATTTGTATCTGTGGTTGTAGCTGCGATTTACTCACTTCAAAGTTAAAGTCCGTTTTATGTGGTGCTTCCATTTTTTTTTTTGTATCAGGCTAATATGAGCAGAAACCGATCTAAATGGACCGAGAAGTGAAAGTTATTCTGATATAAGAAAGCAGGAACGTTCATTAAGTGACTGTAGGGGTTCAGTGCAAGGACAGAAGCTTCAGGTTATGCAGAGAGAAAATTATCTAAACATAAAATCAGCGCTGATTTTAAGTGATATGAGAGTAAGGGAGCTCTTTAGGTAATCACAAAGATGTGCCATAATTACATTAAATACTCAACTGGAATCAATAGAGTTTGATTCTGTTGTATTGTATTCTATTTGTTCTTAATTTCTTATACTGTAATGTCATATGTTAAATATTTATTGTGTTATTGTTGATTAAGAATAGAGTTTAATTGAGTGACGCTAAGCATTAGCACATGCAGATACCAAGGAGGCCCAGCTGGGATGAGACGGCTTTTGTGTTCTTATAGAGTGAAAAGCTTTGTTCTGCATGTCAGATCACAGTAAGGATCCATCAGGCCAGGAGAGGAGGCGACTCTGGGGAAGATGGGAGGCCTGGATCAGGGTTTGTGTTTTATTAGCAGGCGGTAACGCTCTGGGTTCACCAGCAGGGGGCAGCGCAAGGAGGGGCTTCGGGCACTTTTATCACGCTTGGTACACGAGCTCTGAATCCAGAGTCACTCTGCGGCACCTTCACTTGATTGAATCTGCAGTGTGACCCCCCCGCCCCTGACATCACACTGGGCGTGGCCCTCAGCGTTACTGAGCTGACAGCTAGGGGTCTTTGTTCTCTGTTGTGCAAAAGTCTGATTCTAAGAAAGAGGATCTAGATTGTTTCTGGTGATGGTGACATAGATTGGACAGTTTCTGCTTATCAGCACCGAGGCCTATTTCAAAAGTTTTGACCAACTCTCTTCCCACCCATGAGTGAATCCTTTCCCTTTCATCAGCAGAAACAGCCTGTTTAGCTTTGCTGTTAGCTGTCATGTCAGAGATAAACTCACCTATAACTCACCTATAACTCACCTATAACTTTCCTAAGCTGTAGCAACACCTCTTTCTACATTCTACGTGGTATAAGTGCCGCTTGATCTTTTGTGATGTCATTCTAGTCCCACCGGAGCCAATCAGAGCTCAGTTTTACGGCATCTATACTAACTGTGAGTCTGTCTGATGTATCATCTTCCTCAATTACGAAGGCAAAGTCCATTTCCTCATTTGTGCATCGAGCTGTTTGCACATTGCATTTTACAAAAATGAGCATCTCTGTCACACTTGTGGCAAATCAGTTAGCCGACGCCCATAATGTTTCACTCACTATACTCATTCTGTTTTTACTCCTGCAAACTTGCTGAGTCATCGTCCTTTCTGTGAGATATGAACCTACAGTCTCGGCGTCAGCATTTAATGTGCTTCGGTTCGACACGGCTGCCATTTATTCCTCCATATGCAAAGTGCATGCTAAGGTAAGTTCCTCGCGCTCCTCTACAAGTTTCCTTCCATTGTATTGAGACTTATGTTTACTCAATAGGCTACTGGTCCCTAATCTGATTGTGGGCACCAAAGCTGCAATCTCTTGCCACTTGCTGCAGGCGTGTAGCAAAGTATCGCGTGATCTCACCTCCTTTTAGGGCCTGTCTTCTTTAAGCTTTAGCATCCATGTGCTACTCCCAGAACACAGTAGTCATCCGGCAGCTATGGCTACCGTATATCGTAGCTTGTAGCTTTCCCTTTGTCGGGCAATGAAAACAAATCTTGCACATCTGGTCCTGCTAGGGCCGACAGCGAAGCGCTTCCATGTTTCTTCATACCGTCTGTAGCGTCCCCTGACATAAGCCCTTTCACATCAGCATATCGCTCAAAGGAAGTAAGCCATCTTGCCCAATGTGAGACAATAGTGGTGGGATCATTACATCAGTCAAATTACAGATTACCGGATTTCCCCCATTTCAACTAATCATCACCGCAAATAACGAATTTCCAATACTTCAGTCCGCATCACCAATGTTGTATTTGCAAGTCAACTCAATTTACACAGGCTCTTTTTTTATTCCCATACAATAAACCGAGCTTACACCGCTTTCTGTACTTTCAACAGCTTTATTCCACTACGCCATCAGTTCCAAACCCAGAGCATCTGACCCTCAATACTACAGGCACCTCCTAGAAAGTAATCCAATATGTTACAGCTCATGCAAACACTCAGAACTTATTACAGCTCGTACTTTCACACTGCATGCATTAATGCAGTTAAATATTCACAAGCAGTCTGTTTCACTCTTTTCATGTACCTGGGCTAACGTTGTCCTGCCTGGAGCCGTTTTTTACTGGCCCATGCAATCCTTAAAAAAAAATAACGTTTTTATGTTTTCCTTTGAGGATGAACAGATTTTTGTGCACACATCTCTCTTTGAATTAATAAGAAATTGGAGCAGGCGGGTGGGTGGTGTATGGCTCAGGGGGTTGAGCTGCTGTGCTTGTGCTCAGAAGGTCATTGGTTCAAATCCCTGAGTCAGCAAGGCTCTTAACCCCCATTTGCTCCAAGCCGAGGCCAACATTTAAAATCATCCCCTGCACTGACTCTTCCTTTTTTTCTTTTTACCACAAACACGTTTGTCCGTCCGCTTACCAATGGCCTGACGATATCACTGTCACTAAGGACCAAGCCTGCTTCTTCTCACGCACGTATTGGATTAATGGACCCCCTACACGGATAAAATGCAAGCATACGGTGAAGAGCTGGTCCACATGGTGAGGCTTGGATTTGGTCCTCCGCAGACAACAATCACCTAGGCCTACAGTACATTCATATACATTTAAATCACAGACAGGCAGCTTAGACATGGCACTAAATGCCATTTAATGTATTTTATTTAGATGATCAGTCGATCTACTTCCTTTATGACTCATAAAACCACAGTCTCCTCTCCAAAAATCAGTCTCTTTCGGCTACACAACACAGTTTGGTGATGTTTATTATCAGTGTTAAATCAACTTATCAAAAAGAACAACAATCAGCATTAATTCACTTAAGCCACTGACAACCCTAACGTGTAGAAACGCAGCAACAAATGAATAGATTTTAATTACTGTACAGTGTTAACTGCTTCTCAGGTGATTCTGCAACTATGTCCTATATTTAGTACAACACCAACGGTTTATTAATTTAATAACCTATTTCCGGTCGTTCAGCAAACAATGAAATTATCGACCGCTGCACTCTTTGTATGGAAGCACATCTTGCAGTTTGAATCCTAAGTTGCGCTTGCAGGCGAGTACAGCGGAAAGAAGAAGCACAAATTCACTGGACAGCTCTGAGACTGACTGGGTGGGTAACTAAGCTGCTTCGTAAAGGTACCCTACATAGTTCATTTCTCACCGATTACCTTCGCCGAAGACGCCAGATGACCAATAATTTTTCACGCGAATGGGCGAACGGGAACCCTTTGAAAAGAAAGAGGCGAAACTAGCGGAAAAGGGTGAGAAAAACAAAGGAGCAGAAGGCATGGGCGAAAAGGGAAAGCTGCCGGCTATTTGAGGTCATTGCAATTTACCATTTACCGTCACACGTTGGGAAAACTGGGCAGCGATGGCACCTCGTGTGCCGGACCTTCATCCTAACGCAGCCGGCTCCCGTGCGCGGACACTATAGTTCGGCCAGTCGGACTGATGCACCGGACAAGACGGAAAAAAGCTGCCGAAAAATGAATGCATTTCTACGGCAAAAAGCACCGGGAACCCCGACGCATATCAACTCGCAACTTCGCATATCAAGCAAAGACAGCCCGATTTAAGACATTTTCTCGCTTTCCATTCAAGAACAAATGAGCCATCGCATTTAGTATTATATATTGTGCTGACACATTTGGCAACATTCCTACCTTCTTAATTGTTTTAAAAAGAACTATTATCTATTAAAATGACGTTCCGCGTATTATCATGAAATGTTATAGGACCACGATCCAGCGTTTATTTCGCTCGTCTTCCGCTCGCATGGATTCTGAAAAGTGTGTTTAAGCTGCTTCAGTCGTCAGGATGCCCGCTGCTCTCTCGCCATCCCAAGCGCTGTATATAGGCATGGAGGTCGCAATAGCGGTGTCCTCCGTCGTCGGGAATGTGATGGTGGTCTGGGCGGTGAAGATTAATCGGAATTTAAGAGACACGACCTTCTGCTTCATAGTGTCTCTGGCTCTGGCTGATATAGCCGTGGGGGCCCTCGTCATCCCCCTGGCCATCACGATCAGCATCGGTCTCCAGACGCACTTTTACAGCTGTCTTATGGTGGCGTGCACCGTGCTCGTCCTGACGCAAAGTTCCATCCTGGCGCTGCTTGCGATTGCCATCGATCGGTACCTCAGAGTTAAGATCCCAACCAGGTAAGGCATGGGGAAGCTGGCAAGACTAAATTAATATACGTTAATGATATACGTATTGAACGATTATCGCACTGACCATTTAAAACGGCAGCTGTAATTAAAAGTGTAGAAATGATAGACAATTGAAAAAGTCGATGATATATTCTCTGTAAATAAACAAATATTGTGATATATTTTAATTTGATTGTCCTATATTTCAGTGCCGTCCGAAGCAGTGAGTTTACCATCTGACAAACAGATAATTTAACATTATTAATCTGAATTGTCTAAAACAGATACGGGCCTCAGACAAATTCGTTATATGGAAATGCACATTTTGTTTGACTCATTTATGCATTATCTTTGGTTTAAGATAAACGGCGCATCTGTGATATAATTAAATTGAGCGCCTACTCTCGGCTATAAATTATAGATTTATTAAGATTATAATATGAATTGCATATTATAGGTTCATTGTACTCCTATCATTCTACCACCAGAGAAATGAACACATTCACCAGGAATTCTGGTCATTTTGCTTGGTGTTCCTGGACACAACTGAAAAAAAAAACTTGCCATATTATAATATTAGTGATATATTATTGCAAGCCAACCTAGAGAAATTCATCTAAGTGCGTCTGATATAGTGTTATTAGTTTATGTTTATATGAAGGTGCTGTGTTTTATTTTATTTTTTTAATTGTGCAAGTTATATTAATGTTAAAAGCAAATGAATGATAAACATAGGTCATACATTGAATGACCTCATAAAAATAGATTAAAAGTCCTAGGGGTCCCTCATGTCCCTGTATGGTCAGGATTTCTAGTTGTCGTGCACATAAAATGATCCTTGCAAACCCGCATTAGATAAGTAGCATGGGAAATGGATGGATGGATAGATAAAATGATGCTCAGTAGAGGATCATTCTGAGTTCAGTAAGAATCAAAGTTAAAACCTGGTTTTACTGAAGAAGTGAAAGTTTTTTAGGACCTCAGATACCCAATTGCGTGACGTTCACCCATACAGCAGCATTTCAAAGCCATGGAAGAAGTGAGTTTGACTGTGGAAAGGTTGTAAATTAGGTGGATCAAAAAGAACTCTGTGTTATTGGCAAAGGGTGGGACATTGTAGACATTTAACACGTGTGCGATGTTGACAGTGCCATTAACATCCAGCATCTGACCTACTCCCTGCTCCCCCCCCGTAGCTATAAGCAGGTGGTGACGGCCCGGAGGGCAGGGGCTGCGGTCGTGTTGTGCTGGACCGTGGCTTTCCTGGTGGGCTTGACGCCCATGCTCGGCTGGAACAACTTGCAGAAGCTGCAGGAGAACGGCTCGCTGGGGTCCGACCTGACCGTGACCTGTCAGTTCGAGAACGTCATCAGCATGCAGTACATGGTCTACTTCAACTTCTTCGGCTGGGTGCTGCCGCCCCTCGTGCTGATGCTCGTCATCTATGTGGAGATCTTCTACATGATCCACAAGCAGCTGAGCAAGAAGGTGACGGCCAACCAGAACGACCCCAGCAAGTATTACGGCAAGGAGCTGAATCTTGCCAAGTCTCTGGCCCTGGTTCTCTTCCTCTTCGCCATCAGCTGGCTGCCTCTGCACATCCTGAACTGCCTGACGCTTTTCTGTCCCAGCTGTGAGAAGCCCATGTTCCTCATCTACATCGCCATCCTGCTCACCCACGGCAACTCGGCCGTCAACCCCATAGTCTACGCCTTTCGCATCAAGAAGTTTCGCACGGCCTTCCTCACCATTTGGAAGCAATACTTCTGCTGTAAGCCGGGCCCCTTCCCTGGTCCACAGGTCAGTGAACGAGTGAACCTTCCGGTTGAGCAGCTGCAGGTGGAGCATAACGTAACCTGACCTGGCTAAAATGGCGCCACCTGCAGTCCTGGAAGTGCCTCAAGTGGAACTGCGTTGATTAAGATGCCCCTCAAGCATCTTATCAGGACGAGGTGATTGTATGACAATCCCCCATCATGGCTTAATTGCGATGACTCCTTACTCAATCTGAGGTTTTTTTTAAACTAAATAACTGGGCTAACTTGGGTGAGTGATCCGTCACCAACACCTTAGCGAAATCTGCCGCAAACTTCACTGTTTCTTATGCCAAAAAAAACACGATGTTTTATTCCTTAAATCAGCAAACTTGGCATGAGCTACCAATCTAAAGGGGCACCTCAAATGACCAAAAAGTGTAAATATATTATTTCATATTTATTTGCTGCATGTTTTTTGCATTCATCCTGGAACATGACCTTTGCATGGATAAAGGAATTTACGGGATTCACTCAATTCTTGTAACTCAGAGTGACAAACCTAAAATGCATAATTAAATGTGAGAGGCTGTTAAGTGTTAACCTGTGCGGTAATCTGTGAGAGGGCAGGTTGTGGTAAATGGTGGATTATGTGGGGGCGTGTGTGTGTGTGTGGGGGGGGGGGGCAATTGCTATAAATCAGTGTAAATGTGACAGTTTTTAAATGTGACTTCAGCTCAGAAAACCCCACAGCATCATCATGCCAGTGGGTGCTTGTACAACCAAAAGGGTCGATGTTTTACCAGAACATGAGCGTGTATCTCCTCTCAAGTACGTCCTCCTCTCTATTGCTACGTGGTGGACTTCTGCTGCTCCAGGGCCAGGAAGAAAGACATCTGGGAGCCTGGCCTGTGTGCTAAAGGGCAATTTAAGACCCTTTAATGTGACATGAAGAACAATGGGAATTTATGGGGTTCATATATAAGGGCAATTTTAAGGTTTATAAAGGTGGGGGGCTTGAGAGGGGCCATAATTCATACCAAGGGGCCAACCTTATCACGAGCCAATGATATGTTTTGAATTGGTGAGTGACAGATGAGGGGGCACTCCAGAGGCCAATCAGCTTTCAGGTGGGGTCGGTGCCCCTGTGGCCCCGCCCCTGTACACACCCCTGTTCATATGGATGAAAAGGATTGATCTGTAGTGGGTACTTATATGCAGACCAGTGTTTATTTACAGCTCTTTGTGTTTAGGTTGGATAATCGATGTAAAGAGAGCCAAGCTGGTAATGTCCAAGGTCTTAGATCAACATCTGAGGAATTAGTGGTTCAATGTACTGCCCTTCACCAATGAATGTGTCGTGGCAGTAGTCCACAACTGTTGGCCTTGCGTTCAGCTTTTTTGGCCATACTGATTCTAGGGTCTTTTTTAAGCCATAGATCTATATCCTGATGCATTGAATCTATAAAAACATGAAGAACATGCCTACGACTTTCCCGTGACAATGTTTAAAAATGGTGGGAAAGAAACACTGTAAACGGCCAAACAGTCACTTAGACCTTATCTGTATCTCCTAGCTGTGTGATATTAGACTAAACTAGACTAGTCCAGTTCTAACCCTATAAATAAAGGTGATCTCAATGACAACACCTGCTGCATTCATGAATATCATGTTTCATATAAAGCAGTGTGTATTTTCCTGTATGCTTATCTGGAGTGGTGTAAATTTGCACTGGACTGATACCATATATAATCCTCGATTTGGGAAAACCATTTTCTTTGTTGCATGTTATCACTATAAATAATAGGCTTTTATAAATCCATCTTGAATATATAGCCGTTTTCATTCAGATATTTTGATGCATCCTGAAAAGACACGAGTCAGGAGCTAAGACAAGGTCCACCTCCCAGAAACCATTTTATTGTGATTTCAGAACTTAATATATTCAGGAATATGTTCATCCACAAACCTGTACTAGATATGCCTTATTGAGAATGGATGGATACAGTAGGCATGTTAATATGCAGCACCTTAATCCTGTTTGTTTATGCATGACCCAGCTCTCTCTTTGACTAACGATTGTCAATAGCATGTTCATCAATGGCCTGTTTGTCAATGGCATGTTTATCAATGGCCTGATTGTCAATGACATGTACATTCAGACCATCCATCCTTCCATCCATCTCCCAACTGATGATTCACTACAGGGTCGTAGCTGCTTTTGGAATGTGCGTTTTACAAAGGCGTTGTTCTCCTAAATTCCGTTTCTCTGTTGAATGGTTTATATACATACCTGTCAAGTCATTGATGCAGGATGCCTTTGAAAGCACTGACTGCCTTCCCTAACCCTCCTGATATATATCATTTTAGGTGGAACGCTTTAGAGAGATATCTCCGGGCATCTTTGTGAGCACGTAGCCTTTTTTGACATGTAGGCCTTTGGGAAAATATCAAAGCTATCCCCAATATATAACTGCATATACCTTACAACCCTTAACTTGTAAACCACTTTTATGACACGTCCACAGTATTTTATTAGAATAAGATGAGATAAATTTCATTGATCCCAGGGGGAAATTCTTGTGCAAACAGCAGCAAAAAAGTATGCAGCACACAAATAGAACATTCTGAAAAAGAAAATATTATGGAATATTAAGGAAACAAACATAAATAAAGAATAGAGAGAACAGAGCAATGTTATACATTACTAGGTTGTACAGCTAATGTGCAGATTTTATTGATTTCTGTCTTCAAGAATGGGCTCTGAGGCTAAGGATCTGTGCTAGTAATCGGAAGGTCGCTGGTTTGAATCCCATGAATACCAGCAGTGATCCTACTCCATGGGGCCCTTGATCAAAGCCCTTAACCAGCAATTGCTCCATACTGGGTTCAGCTCTATAAGGAGGTCCTCCAACTTACATGGAAAATTTGGGGGTTGGTGGCAGCATTGACACTCCAGCCACTGGGGAAAAAAACTCACACTGGTCCATTTGGACGAGTGTGGTGCTGAGGTATCACCCACTGCATGGTTGCACTCAGGCTCTCATCCCTGAGGTAGTTCATCATGTGGTGGGGGCAGCAATGGGATGTAATCAGAATGTGCCCCCTTACCTACCTACCTTAAATATAATTACGATGAACAAAGTGCAGATGTGTATAGACTTTATACTTTTAAATGTAACCATTCTATATGCCGTAACACTGCATATGTCAAAAGCATCGTCTCATGCCAAGAAGCATGAACTCTAACTGCGTTCATGTGACATCACTGATCTGTGACCTATTCTATAATCTCCCTGCAGCTGCACTTACATTGAAACTTGTTCCAAGTTTTTAATCCTCAAGAATCCTTTTTACTAGAGGTATAAATAAACAGGGCATACTCTGTGGAATCGCTGTTAATCAGCTTCCAGCTGTGAGTAGCAGTACAGTTTGATCACATTTTTCATTTCGCTCACCAGTGGTGTAAATCCCAGCTATAGCAAAAATAGCAAAACATGAAACCATTATGCTGGAGGCTAACTTTGAACATCCACTTTAATAATTTTAATGTTCACCAAATAGTTCTTTCCAAAGCCGTATTAATGGTTATTGCTATCAGGGTACAGCAAAGACTTACTCCAACATTTATTACACTGGTCCTCTTGTTTTCAAACAAGCTAATCCTGAGTTTTCTTTAAATCTAACTGTACACTGCAGTTTCTCTCCATCCAGTGTTACTCACAAGAAACTTGAGTCTGTATAAATGCGACACTTATTTAATTTGTTCAGGGTTATTTATGATGTATGTTGATGCATTACGTTAAATCAGTGATTAACACTTGCCGGAAATGTCTGCGTTACAGCCTTTGAAGCGCAGAAGCACGTTTCCCACCTAGCAGTGTGTGCTGGTGAGAGTCCTGTGTTGCACGTCAGATGTGCTGTGTCTGATGGTTCCTGTTTCCTGGGGCTGTATACAAACCCAATTAGTCAAATGGATCTTGAAAATTGATGTATAAGAAGTACTTTGGAATAAGCTCTTCTAACATCACTGTGCAGTGAATGTGAACCCCCCCCCCCCACCAGAACCATTGAGTAGGAGGGGGAGGGGCTGGATGGAGTCAGGTGACAAGTGCATTCATTCATTCATTCATTCATTCATTCCTTCATTCATTCATTCATTCATTCATTTCAGATGTACCATATTATATGTTTGGATTTTGCTTTCTCTCTTGTTCCCCCTATAGAACACATGCCCAGGTCCTGTTGCTGGAGACTTCATCCAGATTTGTTTCTGAATGTTTTTCCCACAAAAAACAATTTAATTAAACTTTCTACTTATCTGCTGTGCGCAGTTTTGAGAGGTGTTTTGGAGGACCAGGGAGGTTGCGAAGTCAGATTTTAAATCATCATCATCATCATCATCATCATCATCGTCATCATTATTATTATTATTATTATTATTATTATTGCTAACCATTTTGGAGACCCCATAGAAGTATTTTCTCCATGTAAAAATTATACCAAACTTGAATTCCAGCTCATCTTTTTACATGATCAAAGGGGCGCATCCTTGAAAACTCGCTGATTCTGATCATGTTGTGTCACATTTCGGGTTTTATTGTCACATGTGTTCCAGGAAACACCAAGAAGCAGTGTAGTGGACAGGTGTGTTGGAGGGCAGGACAAGATGGTGCAGGACAAGACTGCAGTTTGTGTATAAGTGTACAGCAGTAATAATCTTATATATTACTGCTGTACACGTAATGGGGATGAGGATCTGCAAATAGACCAGAGTTTAGCAAATAATGGGCCAACACAGCTCCTAATTTCGAAAACTGGGGCGAGAGCTATTTTCACAGATCTATGCAGTAATGCTGAAGGGGTTTGGGAATGTTCTCTTTAACTGACAACTGTTTTAATTCAGACTCAGCTACTGTTGTATTTCTTTCAGCTGAGGATATGGTTGTGTTGGGTCTAAGCATGTAAACCACCTTCCAGATTCACACAAGCTGCTGAAGTCATATTCAAACTGTTAAGGTGTAGAGTTGCAACACGTACATTTCTCTACCAACTGAGAGACACCCAACTCTACTCCAAAGTGCCTAGCAGCAACTGACCCTGTAGCTGTACCTTCCATCCATCCATCCATCCATGCATTTCCTGCAACTGCTTGTCCATTTCAGGGTCGCGGGGGATCTGGAGTCTATTCCAGAGGCTAAGGGTGAAAGACAGGGAACAACCCAGGATGGGGCACCAACCCACACACCCTGCTCATTTCACTGGTACCATAATGGTAGAAGATCCTAGGGATGTCTTCAAATGACCTCCAGATTAGGAGTACATGCGCCCAGCCTGTCGTAGGCAGTCGAAGAAAATAATATTTAAATGGTCATCATGTTGGTGTAATACTATAATAATATGTCTGTCACAGTGTGCCAGCTTAACCATTTCGAAACCTCTCCAAAAGTCACCCCAGTATTTGTAGCGACCATCCAATACACCCACGTATATTTAACTCGACCACTAACACATCTTGTTTGGCTGATCAATACCTCATTGAGTTAATCGACTTAATTAATTAATTGAACTGGTGGTGAACTTTAACAAATACATGGAAAGGATGAGGTGCCCCTGAGGAGAGGTTTGGGAGGCAAAGCGGCGTTCATCTAGCTATATCTTGGAGAACAAAAGAAGTTCTTGTGTATTGTTTATTGTGTTACACTTAATTTACGCATATCTGATGTCAAACTGTGTTTTCTTTTGAGCAAATACACTTGTTACCCAGATGAATATCCTTAAAGATTCTCCTTGACTGCCTGAGGCTTCTCCACTGCACTGTAGCTGTATATCTCCTGGGCCGTCACTGTCACAACTTTCACTTCACAAATCACTGGACGGTCACACTGGATCCCTGTCATATATCTCATTGCCCGGAAATGTTCTGACCTTGGGTTTATAAGTGGGTATTACCTCACCCTATTTACTGACGTGGTCACGAGAGGTGTTTGTGTGTACTTGTGCACATAGCGTCATGCTTGTTTACTGTGCTCCTGCGGAGATGATTATGCCATTCCTTATTAGCACCTTCGTGTGCCAGGGTGTGCGTGTGCAGCGTCGCGTTCATGCACATGTGACCCTCCGCCACCCAATAGTCTTGCACTTTATTGGCTGAGGATTTATAAGCTGTTTTCATTGGACGAAAGGGGTAATGAGGGAAACTTGGCAACACAGCGCTAAGTGGAGACATGGGTATGACTTCCACCAAGAGTGGTGCCTAGGTGCCGGATGGTGGATGCAAATTCATTTTTATTACTTTTAATAAGCACAGAGGTACAATAAATAATTTTCTAATCATCCTTGCCATGTACCTAAAGGGTAACTAATCTGCATTGAAAATCACATTCATATTTAACACTGCGCAATCTGTTCGCCGTACCCTCCCACGCTAGCCCCCCTCCATGATTTGAAGCTCTGATTTTAATTCCCCACTTACATCCAGGCAGCAAGCATTGCCTCTCAGGCCCAGAGTCATAATCATCTGCCAGTTCCAGAGACTATTATTATAATTTTCCGTCTCTTAAAGCCTTTTGTGCAAAAACAGGACAAAAGAGAACTACAATGTAAACTCTGTTATCTGAATACTTGCTGTAGTATTATAAATCAAAGTAAAAGGGTCTTTTTGTATGTTATATGTTCTCAGACTCCTAGAACCTCCTTAGACTTCTATTCTGTACACAGAATTAATGGTGGTTAGACCTCGTCCAGGAAATGCTTTTTATATCCCTAACTTCATAGGCTGGCAATGGTCACATGACTGTGTAAAAAAAAACAAAAAAAAAAAACACGGGAAGGACCATTCTTACCAACTTTATTGTTTTTATGACTATGGAACAATTTATCATTACAATAATGCATTGAATGGAGAATCATAATTACAAGTTAATGAGTTAGCTCTTAGAAACACTGATTTTAAACTCAAAGAAGTGTTTGGGACTTTAGTCTCAAGACATGAGTAGTTTTTTAATTATTAAAAACCTTTCCTGAGATGAAGTAATTTGCGTTTCATTCAAGTAAATTGCTTCTGTTAAGAATTTAAAACATGCAGATTGAACATGAAAATCAATACATTGTTGTACCTTTAAGCAAAGATTGGATTTGCAATTGCTAATGCAAATCGAGCTAAACAAATTTCTTGGAAACAGGAAAATTGAATCAAAAAATGGAAGTATGCTGTAAGGGTGTGTAACACATAGCATAACCCATAATTACATAACATCACTTCTGTAATTAAATAATGAACTGGACTTCAGAAATCATTCATACATTCATTCCATTGCTATTCTATTATAAAGGGCTACAAATGTAGCAATTTAAAATATTTTCTTCAGAATTCAAATAGGGAATCATCCAACATTTATCAAAATATCTCAATACACAGCACAAAACAATAATATGAAAATAGTCCAAATTAATATTTCAAATGTATTGATTTATTTTAAATCACAGAAACAGGATTGATGGAGGGATAGATGTTTAATGTGTCTCTATATAACAGTTGCCATTTCAACAATGCCCAGAAATATCAATAAAAGAATCGATAAAAATATCCTTGAAACTACACGGGGTAGAGAGGCATTCACTAAAAATGGAACTAAATACCTTCTTTATGTTTCTTGCTGTGCGCTATTTACTGTGACAGGAACATAAATAAAGCACTGTTTAAAAATAAATAAACAATCATCTAACGCTGCATTTTGCTTCTAGCTCGAGGCTGCCATCTGCTGACCAGAGTGCGGAAAACATTTTAATAGAAAAAATGAATTACTAAAGCGTCATAGCAACCACATACAGTGATGTAAATTACGAGTCACCCATCTGATGAGTCTGTTATGGGAAGAAGACGACAAATGACAACTAGGTCAAATTTTGCTTAGGGTCCCAACTTACTCATATTTATTAAGGTATGCTTGGCACTATTAAACACTCTTTAGTGTTTCCGTTTATTGCACTTAGTTACTTACTAGACTCTCGCGAGATATTTGCTGATTATATTTTATAGATTGTGATTACAAATCCAAGGTTTTTATACCCTTTTCCCAATAACTATCTAGCACCTATTTCTGGTCACTCAGTGGAAGCTCAGCCTAGTATTACTTGTACATACACATATAACACGGAGCTAAAGTGTATAGTGAACCACTTTGCACTGTGTTCGCTTTAAATTATGTTTACTACATTATTTATTTCGTTATTTTTTAACATAAACATCGTACGAAATCAACAGCTCTTAGAATATGAGCTTGCACTTTGATAATTGAATGGTTATGTATCATCAACCTCACTTGTATGCTGATTGCGACAAACGCATCTGCCAAACGAATGTAGATATACAATAAAGGTTGGTGTGCGGTGAGCTCCCTCTAGAGGCAATTCTCTGTAGTACAGGCAGTGCAGTACAACATGAATGTGGAATGTCTGTACACCTGTTTGCAGAATGCTGAACCAAGTGAGGATTGCGGCTACAGGGCATAATTAATAATAGCCACTGCACATACACATAAATGAGGGACTGAAAATGGCAGGCAAACATATAAATATAAAATGTCGCTTTGGACAGAAGTATCTGCCAAAGAAAACTAGGTAAAGATTATTCCAATCAAAGTTTGTATCGCCTCACTCAATAAAAACAGTCAAACGCCTGAAACAAGCAACAAATACAGAAATGGGCAGTTTTTCCCCCACAGAGCACACTGGCCAAAACCGATATATAAACATTACGATGTTTATTTTGGTCAACTGTTCACATATGTTCAAATGATCGAGTGAAACATGGTTAGACTGAAATGATGAACTACGGCTTGTAATTTCAATATTGACCCGTAATTAATCTCGATACAAACACAGCAAAACACCACAGATTAAGCAGAATGCAACAGGACGGTCAACAGTCATTATGTGTTGTTACGTGGTCTTACAGTGAGCGATTGTGCACATGAGAGAGGGTGCATATGGGTGTAGGTCAGGCTCTGATTCACATTATGATTTAATTTATTAACTTATCCACGGATGATTAAATGACATCCTAACACAGCTGCCAGTGCCCGGTATCTACTGAGCCAGCTACAAACACCCCTGTGAATACACACTGGCTCTGTGCAGTTCATTCCTTCCTCTATTGCTTTTTTTCACTGGCCATTACAAAGCATCGATTAGGAGCACCTGCTTTGTATGTTCTAAATCCCCATGGTAATCATTCTAGACCTGGACCTGCCCCTTTAAAGCCCCCCCCAAGCCCGACCTTTGAACGCATCCCTGGTGAGTCTCAAGAGCCACCTGAGGTAGGTGTGTCTACATCCAGAGTTAAGGCCTTTGTTGAACTTTGGATCCTTAGTCCAGCGTGACTTGTGCCTAAAAAAATAAAACCATTCATCAGTATCGAGTGTGGACCAAGCTGTGCTACATCAGCACAGAGAACAACATACGTCAGATGCTCTGCAGCAGGGATCCCCAGACAGTCCACATTTCTGTTCCCACCCAACTCCCAACACACCTGCGCTAGGTATTCGGTTTTGTTGATTGGCTGGGAGCTCGGAGGGAGAAAAATGTGGACTGTCTGAGGGGTCCTCCGGACTGGGTTGAGAAACACTGCTATACAAGCCAGTGCAGAGAGAATGACAGATAACTTGTACACGTTTTAGGCCTAATTACACAACCAGGGACCTGTATCATGAAGCTGGATTTCTGTGTTAGCAAGATAACTTAAGATTGTCTTCGATCTCTTACATTTAGCCCAGACAAAGTCCACTTCAGCTGGAGTACCTTAAATCTGACAAGTTATCTAGATAACCATCTTGCTTTGTGATACGGGCTGCAGGCTCAGTGTCATAACCACCAGACCCAGAATGCCTCCGTTTCCATGTTAATCAAACCAAACTTTTCTTACTATGAAATGTAAATTGGTTCATATATAAACAAGCTATCTATACTTCCCTACAAAGGTAAAACACAGTAACTGCATATTTTATCAAAACTGAATTATGACCCAATGTGTGTGGAATTTGCATGTTCTCCTCTGAATGACATCATCACAACGAGATATTAATATCAACATCACGTTATGCACATGCAGTTGTCCTATCACAAGGAGCTGAAATACTGACATTGTTTGATTACATATCCTCAAAGGCCCTTGTTATCCCTGCAGTCACGCGCTCATTAACGCCAGTACAGATGACATCATCAGCTCGTTACCCACCCAGCCACCCTGCTGAAACACCCAGTTGGCCAGGTTCGTGTTGATGAAGGTCGCCATGGCTCCCTGGACGACGGCGCTCAGGTCCGGACTCTTCTTCTTGACGTACAAGCCCAGCGTGATGGCTGCTTTCAGCAGCTGGGGTTCGACAGCGACCCCCCCACTCTGAGTCACCCATGATTCACAGAGGTGCTCCACACTGCTTTTAAATGCCGTCTGCATCTGGGGTGGGGGGGACCAGGACTTTTATTTTATAAAACATTTATTATTGCTCCGGTACTTTAATAATAACGATAAGGTTAGTGTTAATGTTCATAATCAAACATATAACTTATCCTGCCAGTTTGCATGTTACTTTAATAAATAAACATATTAGCTCACCTTGTCCACAGCGGCCTTTTGAAGCTCATTCATCAGGGGCTGTAACACCGTCTCGTCGTAATCATCACCCAGCGATCGCAGCTTCTCGGCGATCAGTTTGGGGTCAAACGCGTCCTCCGAACCCCCTGTAAAGCAGATTACTGAGTACAGTAC